GTTTAGGACAGGATTAACAACCTCGGTGTCCCTGTTCCCCAGAATAATTAATCCACACCTGCAGATGTGTTGGAAGGCCACTCTCCACACTTCACCAGGAATCATTGTGTCAGCATTTTCTGCTCAAAACACCCTTTTGGTACATCGGATGTACTTCAAGGTTCCTACCCCACTGTCCCCTCCCTGAGACACCTCAGTGTTTCCCTTTGAACCTCCTCTTCCCTTCCCAGCACATCTCAGTGTTTCCTGCCAGAGCTGCCCCTTACACCACGATGGCAGTGCTGTCCTCACTCTGTGCTACCTCAGCACTGCATGTCCATCGCTGGCACTGTCCCTTCAGCCCTGGTGTTACCCTTGGCCCCATCACCATCATGTGAGCCCTGCCCAGCCATCAGCCCTGGGCTCCCATCCCATACAGCCACTCTCAAACAAGCTTCCTGCCTCACCACAGTGCCGGCTCAGCCCCTCACCTGCAGCTGCAGAGGTCCCTCTCCCACTCAGGATGTTCGGTCCAGGCTGCCCCTGGCTGAAAGCCATCAGAGACCAAGACCTGCAGTCTCGAGGTCACTTGCAGAAGTGGACTTCTGATGAGCTTTCCATAGCAAAGCCAACTTTGCCCCCGTGCTGCAGCTGGTAGGTGCCTACAAACTACCCAAAACCTGCCTAAAAACTGCCCACACTTCCCTCATTCACTCTAAGCTGCTGCCCTAGTCTCCATACTACATCTCACAGACAATCCTTCCCAAAGTAATCCACTCTTCCTGCAGTAACACTCCAGCATCATCACACTCCTCCATGTGGACACTCACGCTTTCCCTGAGGCCCCACTGGTGGACACACTGCCCTCACCATGGCCACAACACTCCAGCCACTGGTGCCAAGCTGCAGTTGCATGTGCAGATCTGACTGTTCTTCTCCACCTCACCCAGAACTGAGGCATCCCCAGCCTCCCACACTGTGCTCAACCACCCTCTTTTCCTCAGCTTCTGCCTCCCCAGTGCCCTGCACCCCAGCCTAGGTGAGGACAGTAGCTGGAACACAGCAGATCCTTGTGTACAATGTGCTCACTTCCACACTGCTGGTGAAGGCAGTATAATGGACAAGAGGGACAGAAACACTGAAATAATTACGGTATGGAAGAGGGAAGATGAAACACAGCACAAATCATGTAGCTAGTGAGACACACCCTATTGACTGGTCGTTGTGCCAAGCACACACACACCGTTACACAACGTCTCACTCCTAAATCCTTTTTGTAAGGAGAAGAGAGCATCAAAGAGTTCATAAATTTCCCAAAACAGCAGTACTGAACAATGAATTAAACTACAAAGCAGTCAGAATTCATGGTTAGAAAAAAATTCAGTCAGACAAAGGGCAGATTCATGTTGAGAAACCGAAGGTAAATCTGCCTGCCAGACCTAAGAGGACAGCCTCTCCTGGAGCTCACGAGCCACTGCTGGAGCACCCCTTGGGGAAACTCCTTTTTCTTCTAGCCAGAGATGATGCCGGGGCACCAGTTAGAGGCAGACTTTCTGGGATGAACAGGACTGCTCTGAAAGTCTTCCCTTCCCCACTGCTAAACCTACCCAAGTCTTATGCCAGAAGAGAAGTGTATGGCTCCAAACCATAGTCATCTTGTACCTAGATTTTGAACATTCCTTTTTGTTTTCTTCCAATGGGCCTACCAACCTTAAGGTTCCCCATATAGCTCATTCTTGAGAAATCTTACAGGTCAGAGTTCTAACACTACACACTGTAGTATAATTATTTTTCACTGTAACTAAAAGACCCCAAACATAAGATACAGCCACACAAAAATATTAAATAAACAATTTTGCACTCAAGTTTCCATTTTCCTATTCATGCTATCATTCCCACTCTCAACAGGTTCCTATGCAACTAGTAAAAGCATTTGGGTCCCATTTCTGGATGACTTGAGCTGAGCTAGCTGGTGGTTATCACTGGGGATTGCATCAGGATGAGAGGATGGAAAACTGGTGGTGGCTGTACTAATCAACTGTTAAGCATGAGAAGCCCCAGGCAGGGTACCTTGGTGCTGAGAAAGCTGTTTATGCTCCATTTTGGAAATTTTCCTAGCACAACATATTCAGATAGATGTTTTCATTACTTGTCATTTAAACTAATTCATCTTTGGCTACTTTCTTTATTTTTCTTTGGAACATCGGATGGGTGGATTTACTCTGTATTTGAATGACATGTTACCACTCTTATTCTAAAAATGTGCAGAGATTGAGATATCCATCTTCTCATGAGAGACTCCTTGAGGAAACAACACAAGAAGGTGAAAGGTGCTATCTGCAGACCAAGGCACAGAAACGTGTCAGTGAGCACCCTTAACCAACCCATCAAGATAAATCTATTGGAGAAGACAGAGAGGGGTAGACGTGTGTCTTAGACAAGCACAAATTGCAGTTGAGCTGTAGATTGACACTGGGGCTGCAGAAGGCACAAGGGTGGTGCCAACGCTGGGGCAGAGCCCGGCACTCTGGGTGCCAGTAAGTGGATGTGAAAAGCAGTGGCCAAGGAGACTCCTGGGGGACTCCTGCCACTGGCACAAGCCCAGCAGAAGGCTAGTGGCCCCCAGCACTGGCCAGGCCTGGGGTTGGAGGGAGAACCACAGCCCACAAAGCAGCTTACACCACCATTGTGTAACAGAAAAATCTGTGGATAATTGCACACATTGTACCAAACTGCTGGCTGGCTGCTGGCACACCAGTGCACACCAGTGCACACCAGGAACAGAAAAGAGCTCTGTCTCTGGTGGTTCACTGAGGGAGGCCTCACTCTCTGCCACTGAATCCCCTCCAGTAGAGAAGCCAGGAAAACTCCACAGAGCAGACAATAATGGAACAGCAAGATACATTCCTGTCACCCCGCATGGGGAGACAGGAAGAGAAAACAGGCTAATTAGTCTCACTCTGCCCTTTTTCTTTGTTTTTCCATGGGCAAAAGTGAACATCAGGGATTCACCCACCTTAGTAATATACTTTTCTCCAATTGTTTATCTCAAAATTTTAAACACATTGCGCAGTGGAACTCCTGACCTTGAACTGGGAATCAAGCCATTGGATATTCTTTGCTTAAAGCCTCCAGCTGCTGAGGTCTGATGTCAAGCTTTACAGTTTAAAAGATAAGAGCTGCTGCCACAGTTTTCTCTGAATCTTTTTCCCGGAGAATATGTTCCCAGGTTTTGTTTGGCCTAAACCTTCCAGGCACTAAATGTGCTCCATTTTCTCATGGGCCCACTACATAGACTCCAATCCAGAGGCAGCACCTGTATCTCAGTTGGCATCTGTCAGGGATGCAGTCACCTAAAAAGAGGCCTCTGTGGCATCTTAGATCCCTCTGGGACATCCAAGCTATGCCCACAGGACACAGGATCTCTGAGACACCTGCGCTGGGGCAGCAGCTGGTGGCCAGGGAGGTACTGTAGGGCACCTCATATAAAAGAAAAAGGTGTGAGTGAGTGAATCTCAGCCCCAAACACTTTTATAGTCCACAGCAAGGAAAGGCACTTTACAACATGATTCATTTCCTCCTGAAATCAATGTGCAAAACAAATCAGAGGATTGACACACTGAAAGTGCTGATCTTGCTCTACTGTCTGTGAGGAGAGCCCAGGGGGACTAAAGCAGATGTCTGCGCTGTAGACATCTAAAGCTGGGTGAGAGGACTTCACCAAAGCTACATACAGATTGTCTTCTCCCTTCTAGTTGCCTTTCTTCAGAATTATAAAATCAACTTCAGTGATCTGAATCGGACAAAACCTAGATCCTTCTACTTTAAAATAGATACAGCATGAATTCTTTTCATTGATTCCAGAAATCATATTAGTGAATATTTAAAAAATAATCACTTGTGAAAATCTTTACAGCCCAGCTATCTCTGTGACATAAATCTAAGTACCATTGCGATACACAATTAAATTGGATAGTGGTTGCTATAATTAATGAACAAGATCTCAAAACTCTTACCTACATTGGAATGTTACTCATGAACACATCTCTTTGTTTTCTATTGAAATATTTATGGAATAAGATAAAACTCCATGACCCTTACTCAGGAATGCCCATAATCACATACTTAACTTTAAACGTAGAGCCACTGTACTTGATGAGACTTCAACACACAATTAAAGTGCATAGTTGAGTCAGGACAGGTTCTTCACACAGGATTTTATGAAGGAGAATCTGGGCCAAAAATCTAACTGTTTCCTTAAGGTGTGAAATAGCATGAAATATTTGATGAATTAAATGACAACTTTAAAACTATCATTTGCATAACTAAGTTATGATGAGAAGAAAAAAGGGAAATATTAAAATATGTCAATATAGGAATGGAAAAAGAAACTTTGAATGCAAAACTAGTAGTAGGATTTGTGGGATTCTGCAAGTTCAAAATATAACTGACACGTTTCTTTGTTGCAGTTAATTTTGTTTTCCTTCATATTAACAGCATCTCTTTGATGAATATTTTTAAAATAAAATAATGGTTATCACTCAGGCTGCTTTGAAGTATTTTCAAGTTGAATGACTGCTAGTATTTATTGATTTCATAGTGTGACACTAGAGGTTTTGATATGGGTTTTTAAAAAATGATATTTGAAGTTAAAAGAAGACATCTTGATTAAAGCCAGAACAAATTGTTTGGCTGAGATTCAGACTCTGGTTCACATGCCTTTCCAAGCTTGCAGTTTAACTTGTTTGCTAGGAAAAAGCCCATATGCTTTCAATGGATGAGTTCAAAATTCATACCATGGAAAGGCAGGAAACTGTTTCAAAGTTGGGAACCAACAGACCAGCTTAAACCATATATTCATAGACATTAGATATAAGAATAAGGTGGAAAGGTCTTGTGTTTAAGGGGTTCAACTCTGAGACACAGACAGTGTGACCTTGAAACAAATCCCATAGTCTTCTGTGCATCCGTTGCCCATATGCAAACTACTGATAACATTGTTCTCATCTTCTCCTTTGCAGGAAGCTGTGAAGATGAATAGCAGCTATATGGTGCCAGTCATATGGCTGGTTAGAGAGATGGTCTGTTGGGTTATCACTTTAAGTCTCAAAGAGGCTGCGATGAATGCTACTGATCTGGTGGGTGCAATCACTCATTGCCAGCAGTCTGGACAATTCTAGTTCAAAAGGTACCTCAGATTCCACCACACAGGGAAATGAGTCTCTGTGCTGGCCACTTCCATTGAGATGCTTGATGTGTTCATGGCCTCTCAAGGCAAGGACTGACCCATACCTGAGGGCTCCTCAGTACTTCAGGATGACCAAAGCCCTGCAGCTGTCTCCTCCTCTACAGTCCAGTAAATTGGGTATTTTGGCTTAAAGAAACATGAGTGGAACTAGTTCTTTAGAATGGACCAAAAGCACTAAACCTTTACAGACATCATCTGCTAAAAAGCCACTTGAGTCCTCATTCTTTAAATAACTGACCTAAAGCACCTGCTCACCGGGCAGTTTCTGCATCTTGGGAGATGATCATCACTTCTTTTCTCGACCTTCTTCCATTGGTAGTGTCACTAGAGATGAGACTGATTTTTAAAGGAAGAATTCACTAGTGTCATTTGGGAGAGTCATGAAAAAAAAAGGGTTGTCAGTTTTGCAATGGAAAATGTAGTAAGTCACCAGCAGGCTACTGACCGAGTTGTTAAACTCGGGGGAAAAAAAAACCTGTTAGGTGAGCTGGTTAATATCAAGGCTCACCACTCCTGCATACTACAGACCATGTCAAAAGCTTTCCAGTAATCAGTAGAGCTTAAGAAAAGTCTCTGATTAACTTTTCTTTCATCTTTCTCTTTTCCATCTGGTGTTAAAGATCAAACCTTCAGTTCCTCTACTCTTTTAAGCCCTGCCTGTTTGACAGAAAACTTCTCATCCATCTTAAATCTAGTGTGGGCTAGAATGTCTTTCAGCAGTAGCTAGAGGGTAGATATATTATCAGATACTAACCATATTGCTCCTTCTCCTTTTTCTTTAGCTCTGTATTTGTTATTATAGGATATATCTGGGTTTTCTGAGTGTTCAGCCTCTATCCCTCTACTGCAGGATAGTGCTGTGCTACGAATGCTTTGCAAATCACTGCACTATCCCTTTCTGGTTTAGGAATGTCCTATCTGTGCTTTGCATAGCTTCTTACAGTTTTACCAGCAGCCCAGAATAGTTGTCTCCTGGGACTTTCAGCATCTGTGCTCGTGAAGACACTATGATGTGGGAATAATGGTGGCTTTGAGAGTGCTGGGGCTGTAAAGCTTTAAACTGCACTGCTACCAATTGTCTGCTGGGTAAAGGCAGCACCTTCCCCTTCAACAGAGACTGCAGGACAGGGATGCTCAGCTATTCTTTTGAAATCCTTGTCTTCTTGGTGGGATGTGGGTAAAGACTGCTGGAACCACTGGAATTGACTTAGACTTGCCATGAGATCTTCCTCCCATGGCACTCTTAAAGGTATTTCTAAGTAGCAGAAAAAAAGCATCTTTATCATCAGATTGCTCCATGATGTAAACCACTGAGTAGCTACTGATAATAATGAAGAATTTTTCTTCAGTGGTGCTCTTCTGACCCAAATTACACACTTTTTCTGTAGTACCTATCATAGATTTATTTATTAAGCACCTGTGCTCCATAGGCATGACATGGTATTGGGTCAAAAGCTTTTCCATGCAGCCTACCATCTCCCTCAAAAATGTTGGCTTGCTGCTCCACGCCTTCAAAAAACAGGGGGATGTAAACATGCTTGATAAACCAGTTTCGAACCTTAAATTTATAAAAGAAGTAATCTGAACTTGAATCCTGCCTGTCAGTAAGGAAAGTTAAATGGGGTCTTTGGGGGGAAAAATGGTATGATGTCATAGGTTTGCAGACCTTCCTGCCTTGCTCTTCTGAGCCTGGACTAAAGAATTGGGGTGCTCCTGCAGTGTGAGCAACATCTTCCTGCTAGGAAGAGTATAAGAAAGCATCTTTGGAAATTATCAGTTCTGTGTGTGAACCAAAGCAGCTATTGTCTGATGCTGATCAGTACCTGTTATATCAGGAGAGATGTAAAAACACATTATTGGGCCGATATAAACAGCCTGCTTTCATATCCTGCTCCTCAGTAGTTAGAGAGTGATTTACATCCTAGAACATGTGGTTCAATATCCTTTTCACTATTTGTTGCATTAATTATAACATTAGGTATTTCTGATTTCCATATAAACATCTAAATCTGAATCCTTCTAAATCTCAGTCTGAACAATTTGCTGTGGCAGTCAGACCCATGGTTAAATTATGTGTTGTGTAAAAAAGCATTTCCATTTATCAATGCTGAATTTCATACCTTTAACTATCAATTTAGGTGACACTGGAATTCACTTAAAACATTTCTTCCCAGTGTAATAGATCCTATATGTGAAGTTCATGCTCATATGGTGAAATGGCAATCCATTGTATTTACAGTTATAAACACAATTACTCTGCAGCAGCACTGCTACAGTTCCTGCAGCTCATGTTAGTGTGTATGCAAGGATTAATATTAATGAGGACTGATAGATGAGTGAAAATAATAATAAATGCAAACATTCTGATTAAATAGGAGGAGACTGCATGACATTAAACCAACTTTGGAAAGGAGCAACTCCTTGCAATTTTCATTCTCTCATATCACTAAATTAGGGATGTGACTCATCCATCACTGTAATATTTCAGATGTAAAGCAGCAGAACTTTGGTTGCAGGACAGTTCTACTGATAGAAAAGCCAGAAGGTCATATAACTGTGGGACAGACTTCCCATTTTTAAAAATTTGTTTGTTCTCTATTACGTGCAGATTACAGAAATGTTTTATGTTATACAGTTTGCCAGACTGCATTTTATTTGATGAAGGGAACTGAACTGTGAAAATAAACGAGCTATTCTGAAGTTGACAGTGTGCACAGGCTCCTGTGCTCAAATGCTTGGAGAATACACTAATTTTTCCATACTAATTCCATACTAATTTCAATTCTGTAGATAATAGTTCCCTGGAAAATCATGTCTTTTAAACGTGCATTTATCATCTAAAGAAATTTAAATGATGGCACATACTTCCTTTTTTGGTCATACAGTAAGTACTCATTTTGATAAATCTAAGTTTCCTGTAACTTGATTAGCATAGTAGCCAACATATTTGCCAACATTTTTCAAGATTAATTGGTTAACAGGTGGCACTGCTGTAATGTGTACAGTCCACATAGTTATTACAATTTATTTTACACATTAGGTAAAAGGTTAAAATATTTTTTCCCTCAATAATACAAAAACTTATTTCATTATTATTATTATTATTTTAAATTTCTAAGCTACAGTTTAAGTTTAGGGAAAATCCACTTCATTCCTGGCTCTCTAAGAGCATGGAAAGATGTCAAGATTTCCAGAGCTGCTGTTGATAGCAGGAAAACCAACACAATCTGGGCAGAATCATCATCATCATAAATAAAACAGCAATGTTTTGATTTTGTGCTATAAATAATGAAATAAGCACCTGATTTTTATCCAAAAAATTAAGAGGCATAATTAATTCAGGCATGCTTCAGGGTAGTTCTAACATGCACTCTTTGTTCTCGTGTTTTTTGTTCTATTTGACATGGTTGCTAGGATGTTACTGCAAAATAATACAGATCGGGAGCGCTCTTACTGCGCTCTCTGTGTGTGACACAGTATCACTTTGTGAACTTCTTTTCTCCTTCAGAACCTGATAATTCTGCCAAGCTTGGTGTGATCCCAGCCTCCCACACCAATATATTTTTATTAGATGGAAGGAATGAATGAACGAATGAATGAACGAATGAATGGGAGACTCCCGTGTGCCTGGGGGAGAGCAGAGGCTCTGGAGGCCTTGTTATCCCTGGCACTGCACAGCACGGCTGTCCCAGCTCAGAACAGGGATGCACCTCTCAGGGAGGTGTCAGCAGGAAGGAAATAATGCCTACACTTCTCGGAGCATACAGAAGGAAAAGCAGCTGAAGTTGAGGTTGAAGGACCAGAGATATTCTCCCTGACACCTTTAAGCTTCTGTAAAAGTCTACCCTTTGGAGAAGATTCTAGAGCACAGCCAAGAGCAGCATTTGTGGCCTGGGTTGGGAATGTTGCTCAACCAGCTTCAGTCCTTTCTGAAATATAAATACTTCACTGTCCTCCTGGAAGGCAGAGGTTCTGCTTCAAGTACTCTCTTTTCCCAAAAGCTTCATATTCCCTCTACCATATGGAAGCCATCTTTAGGTCAGTAAGAGTAGGTGAATCTCCAATTCCAGCCAACAAATTTTATTAATCTTTTCCTTTCATGTTTACCAAGTGCAGATTCATTATTTTATCAGCTTTTACTTCTTTGCTAGCATTCATGAAGCTGATGAATGGGTTGAAACCTACTTTGACTCCTGTTTACTGGCAACTGCAGTCCAAGTGCTGAGGAGCAGGAGGGATGTGAGGCCTCCTACAGTTTCCACAATTAAGGATCTCTTAGCTGATGAGTTAGGAGGGGAAAAAATGTCTGTCACACATAGGCAATTATCTTGTGGTTCTTACAACTAATTCTGCCAAGTCAGTCACAGAGATGATGACTAACTTTATAAAAGTGGCTGATTTTAACTATGCATCAAGGAAACTACTTTTAATGTAATATTCCAACTTCCAAAGCCCACATGAAGCAAACTAAGTGCAGGGTTTCAGAGAATCTACATAACTGATTATATTAGATGTTCTATCCTAGTCTCAAACTGCATCAGGTAGGAAACAAACACAATTTGTGTGATACAATTATCAGCAAATTTAATCTCCTGTACACACACACATCCTAGAATCAGTCTGCATGAGAGTAAACAAAAGTAGCCAGGGAATGCAGGGCAAAGCTTTGGCCATCAGCTCTAGCTGCAGCTCATTTGGTCCATGAGAGAAAACATAAGCTCTCATTTGATCTTGCAGCTGCAAGAATAGCCACTGAATACCGAGGTTAGAGCACTTCAGTTCAGTTCACAGCC